CTTTAATAAATTAACACATAAAAAATTTATGAAAAATATTCAAATAATTTCATGAGTAACTATAATATTTAAAGTGTCAAATTTTCTTAATTTTTACTATTTTTTTATAATATATTACTAGTTAGATTTGTGGGTATATTTCCCCGATTTCAGGCTACTAGGCAGTCGCATGTTGTTTAATTATTTTAGTTTAGCCTAAATGACTTTTCATTTGTAAATGGCAACCTTCTTACATTTCCTTAAATTTTATTTAAGAAAAATTCCGGTAGTTATGGTCTATAGATACCGTTGGTGGTGAAACTACATGTGGTCACATGTGCAATAAAAAGGAGCAACTAGTAAAAAAGTTAAATGATTTAAAGTGGGCTTCACGTGAAGATTTTTAGAAGTCTAAAGCTGTGTGTGGTGTAGGCTATTGCCAGTTGTTGTTGTGTCGCATTATTAATAGGAGTGGTAAATAATATTATTTTTTAATTATATATATTTTTTAAAAAAAATTAAAAGAAAATATGGGGGAATGGAAGAAAAAAATAAAGGGAAAAAATAAGACAATTAGAGTTTTATTTATTTGAAGTGGGGTATTTTTAATGTTTGAAAAATGTAGTAAAAGAATTTAAATTTTTTAATAATAATTTTTAATAAAATTAAATGATTTTAAATTTAAATCATATGATATTTAAGTAAGATAAGTAAAAAAAAATATTTTTTATTATAAAATTTAAGATAAAAAATTAAAAAAAGACATTTGTAAAAGATCAAATTCTATTTGTACTGCACTATAGGCCTCATAAATTAATTATTAGGTGTATGTAATATTTTAATAACAACCAACATTCGAGTTATAATACTGTTATGTTATCATTTTTTATTCTTGTTTCAAATTGTATTTTTTTTAAAAAATGAATTTATTTGCACTTGTGTAATACTATTGTCAAAAAAATGTTCACCTAAGACAGCTAGCACTCATCCAATTGTAACATAAATAGTACTCTCTAACCATGAGTTCTTAAGAATAACCAAGTGATTTCACCTAGGGCTTTCAATTGAATGTTTAGAGTTGAAACCTCAAAATAGAAAAGAATTTAGAGAATGAAAAGGCTATGTTACATCAACGAAAGATATTCCAACCATACAAATATATTTTATTACCACCAATATATATATATATATATTAGTAACTTTTAGTATAAAACCTTGAAATACATATATTAAATTCATAAGTTTAGGTATTAAAAAAAATTAAATTCATATATTTAAGAGTCCCTTATTTTACCAAAACAGTTTTTTGTATATTTTTTTATATTTTATATACTTAAAATCAAAATAAAAATTTTAACATTAGAGAGAGCTAAATGAGAACTTAATTTTGAAGCCATTTTTTCACTCTATAAATCTTACTCGTATTAATATTCTAAAAAAGTTTAGATCGCAGGCCAACCAAGAGGTTCAGTAGCATGCTTCTTCTTCCTTTTTTGTTTTTTGTTTTTTTTTTTCCTGAACAAGGTTACATTTTGGGGAAGGGAAATGGAGAGGATTCAACTTCGAATTCGGTGAGAGCTTTTATGTGATGAGTTACTATTGCTTTATCTAAACTTTTTTTTATGCTTTTTTTAGTAAATTATTAATTAATTATTTAATATTATAAAAATTTAAACTTTAAATTTTGATCTAAATTAAAATTTTTAAATTAATAAATACCAAGTTGATCAAACAATTGTTACTTTAGTCCCGTATGCAAAAAAGTGAAAATAAGAAGTTCTGTGTTTAAGAAGGGTTGCATCCCATGTACAATACTAAAGAAAAGGAAAAGTTTCAAATACGAAACCAAATGGTTAAAATTCTATTTTTAGTCCCTCTACTTCAATAAAAGGTTTTTTTAGTCTCTTTATTTTAAAAAAAATTTTTGTGTTTAAAATTTACTATTTAACTCTTTTTTAATCCCTCTATTATTTTTTACATATATAATACGTTAAATAATAGAAATTTTAAAATAAAGAAACTAAAAAAGAATAAACAAAAGTCTCTTTTTAATTTCTCTACTTAAAAAAAAAAACTCATTTTTAACCTCTCTACTTTAAAATTTTTGTTGTCTAATATGTCATATATACAAAAAATTAATGGAAATGATAAAAAGGGGTCAAATAATAAATTTTAAAAACTAAAAAGAGATTTTCTAAAGTAAAAAGATTAAAAATTTTTTTTATTAAAATAAAAAAACCAATATAAGGTTTTAACCAAACCAAATTATTTTTTAGAGTATGTAGTCAGAAGGTTGATGAGGGAGCAAGATGAAAACTTGAATGAAGGAGAGCTAGAAGGCCACTCAGGCACATACTTTCCTAAAAAAGTTTCTTAAGTAGGTGGACTAAAAAAATTTTTTATTAAAATAAAGGGACCAAAAAAAAAGTTTAACCAAACCAAATTATTTTTAAGAGTATGTAGCCAGTAGGTTGATGAGAGAGCAAGATGAGAACTTACTTGAATGAAGGAGGGTTAGAAGGCCACTCCGGCACATACTTGTCTAAAGGATAGCAATGGAGCCTTAGATAATCCCTCCAGTTGTGAACCTTCTCCTTGTTCACATTAAAGCTGGTGGAAAGTCTCATTGTCTTGGACGGGTCATCGGAATACAGCTTCAACTTCTCCTCAACCGGCAGCCGGAAAAACTCATCCGCCACCCCTAACATCTTCTCCACAGCCTCCCCGGAAACCCCATGATTTATCACCTACACAAACCACAACAGCCACAAAATAACTACCAAAAATTCAGTAAAATTAGCAGAACTTAAAAAACCTGCCCAGCCCTTACGCCTACGGTTAAGAAAAGGCTTACTGAGGTTCTAAAAGTTTCAAACTCGAATCTTTCACTCCTTAAGTTTACCTGAAAAAAGCCATAGTTTTTACAGGCATCACCAATCTGCTGGACAATATGGGTTCTGCTGTCGGACCCAAGGTCTATGGCAGGAACGTTTTCACAGATAGAGACTTCAGACAGCCGGGGACGTTCGGATTCAGGTCGGACATAACTTTTGGGCAAATTAGAGTAGATGACACCAGAGGAGATGATCTTTGTTTCCATTAATTTTATTATTTCATTTACAGAAATTAATCCAGGGGAGAGGAAGGATGAGGAAGATGATGTTGAGCAGCAGGAATTTCACCCATATACTTATAAGCAGAATAAAGCCGGTAGGCCCCGTTGACGCAGATTTCTTTAGGTCTCCTATCCAATGGGCCCTTGCCACTTGTTTTCATCTTGATTTGAACCTGCATTTTTTTGAACATTTTGTCATGGGTCGGCTCGAACCGTTGCCCTGAGGAGGAGACATGAACCTTACGTTACGTGGCTAGAGTCACTTGACTCGAAGGGCCAAGTTCTTGATTTGAACCTGCATGACATTTAATGCTGCCAGGATCTACATTGCACAGTTCGACTAACCTTTCAGAAATGGATTACCTGTTATGTTGGAGTTGTGCCACTGCAGCCTAAAAAGGCTAATGATGGAATACGCCTGGGATCGAATCTTATTAAAAATAAAGTGTTAATTTTTAACTCTTAACTCATAATTATTGCTTTTATAAAAAATAAAAAAAATAAAAAAACCTTTCAGAAATGAAAATGTAAGGGGTGTTAGACTTTACTGCTCTAGACTTAAAACTTTGCAAACAGTTATAAATTGTTGCTATAATGAATAAATTAAATATTTTAAATTATAAATAATAATAATTTTTATTTAAAATTTATATTGAAAAGATAAAAAATAAATTAAATCTATTAAAAAAATAAAAATAGTAATTTTTTGTAATGTTTTATTATAGTATTTAAAAATATTAATTTATAATTGATTTTAAAACTTTTAAGCATATCAAATTATTTTATTATTATTGACTATAATTATGTCAATTTGATCAAACTGAACGGAACGTATCATGTGAAATTAATTATCCAACAATATGTTAATTTGAATAGAAAAAACTATTTTTTAGATAGTGTGTGATTAGTACCAAAAAATCACGTGCAATTGTGTTTTTTTAGATAGACAATCATATGTGATTAAATTTAAACCAATTTTCATTTTTTTTATTTACTTCGTATTACGAAATTCCTTAATGATTTTGTTTCTTATTATTTATTGGGTTATCTAATTTGTGCTTGTAGAAGTGCAATATATATATTTTATACAATTATTTTGTATAAAAATATAAATACTAACTTTAATTTAATTAATTTTTTAATTAAAAATATACACATGATAATTGTGTTAAATAAAAATCAATTTTTGTGTTTCTATGCAATTGATTATAAAAAAATTTTATGATTTACTTACATAATTTTTATATACATTATTTATATAAAATTTTAAGTTTTTATCTTTTTATTATGATTGATTGATTGAAATTTATCCACCTTTTATCTTTTTTTTTAAAGATAATTGTATTTTTCATCTAAAAAATATGATAATTTATGACAAAAAAATAAATAATTAAGATTTTGTATAATTAATATGAATAAACGTTGTGTGTAATCAAATTCTAACTTTTATAAAATATATATATTTATTAAAATTTTAATTTATAGTCTAACTATACATTTATATATACCCTTTTCTTTTATTTGAACCGCCAAAAAATTATTTTATTATTGAGAGTACAAGGGTACTCCTACCCTTTACTAACATACGGAATACCCTTGTAAGTCTTATATACTCTCACTTACGTAATACCCTTATAAGTCTTCTATACTTTCCGAACTCTACCATCAACCCATCCCAATATACACGCACCCTCACTTATTTGGTTTGAATGCAAAATTTGGTCCCTACTCTTTTAAATTTATGCCAAAAATATTTTTGGACTTTAAAAAGTACCAAAAAGAAGAAGAAGAAGAAATACACGTACTCTCACTTATTTGGTTTACATGCAAAATTTGGTACCTACTCTTTTGAATTTATACCAAAAATATTTTTGAACTTTAAAAGGTATCAAAAAGTAGAAGAAGAAGAAGAAGGAGAAGAAGAAGGAGAAGAAGGAGAAAAAGAAGAAAAATAGGAAGAAGAGAGAGAAGAAGAAGAAGTGGGAAAAGAAGAAGAAGAAGAAGTAAGAGAAGAAAAAGAAGGAGAATGAGAAGAAAAAGAAGAAGGAGAAGAAGGATAAGAAGAAGAAGAAGAAGAAGAAGAACAACAACAACAACAACAAGGTTTCTCTTCTCCTTCTTTTCTCATCCAATCATCCCAATCAATCATCCCAATCTATCTCCTCCACATCCAATGATAAGGGTTAAAAGAAGAAGAAAAGAACAACCTTTCCCTTTTCTTCTCATCCAATCATCCCAATCTGCCTCCTCTACATCCAATGATAAGGGTTGGGCAATGAGCTTTCCATTAATGCAACAACCCAAGATTATCTCTCATTCTTTCTCTTCCTCCATGTCTCTCTCCTCTTCTCTAACACTTGTTTCTCTCACGATGAGATAGCAAGTTAAGGCAATAAGGTTTGGGTAGCGAGAACCAAGACCTAGGTTTTAAATGATCCTACTAGCATGCTATTTTGCCATGGGCAAGGACTGATGGCTAGAGAACATGAACTGGTAAGTAAATTTGTGGATTTTGTTGGGTTAAGGAGTTGGATCTCTACAAACCAAATTTGAGTTTCAACTTAGATCTTTGATAACCATGGAAATTTTGTTCCTTTACCAGCTTTGAGTTCCTCTTCCTTTAGAGGTACTTATGCTTTGATTAATTTCAATTTCAATTGGGAAATTTATAAATGAGATGTTTGATCTTTTTCTGAATTTGCTACATTTTGAGCTAGATCCACTATGCTATTAGCCTTTAAATGCTCTTTGCAATTCTTCTGTCGTTGAACTAAAATTGAATGTTGGCTATTCTTGTAATTGTATTAGACCTACAATGAAAAAGATTAAGGTGTTGGAGTGGATAACAAATAGGGAGAAGGAGAGCTAGGAGAAAATGAGAGGAGGAGAGAAATAGCTAATGAAGAGAGGGAAGTTTGAGGAAGATAGAGAGGGCAATTTTGTAATTTTAGATTTATAATTAATTTTATTAATTAAATATCAATGTGGAAAGGTAAAAAAAGCCACATCATTAAAAGAATTGTATTTTCTTTTACATGTCTTTAATTTTTTTTAAGTGATTTTTTTGGCAACTCAATATGCCACCTTTCACTTCCATTAATAAATGCATGAAATTGGCATTGAAAAATCAAGTTTAAGGATCATTTTGGTACTTTTTAATGTTCAAGAATATTTATGATACAAACCTAAAAGTTAAGGAGCTAAATTGGCATTTTAACCTTTCTATTTTGCATGATTCTTTGTTGTTAAGAGTTTTAAGAATTAAATTCAATTGCTTGATTGAATATCCCTTTGAATTGTGAAAATTAATTAGGTTTTTGAGGGATGTAAATGGAGAAAAGGTACAAACAATGATGCTAATTTTGCACTTTTTTTATTTAAAGATGTTACCTTTGTTAGTTTTTAAATAAAGATACCAACTTTTAATTTTTTTCTATTTAAGGATATTAACTTTCAAGTTTTATATTTAAGAATGCCAACTTTCAACATTCCAATCAAAAGGTCTATTTGCCATGTCACTATCATCATCCAATTAATCTTTAAATAGAAAAAGTTAAAAAGTTGATATCCTTAAATAAAAAGGTTGAAAATTAAAATTTTTAAATAGAAAAACTTGAAAGTTGGAATCTTTATGTAAAATCTGACAAAATTAATATCCTTAAATAAAAAAGTACAAAATTAGTATCATTATTTACAACTTTTTCTCAATGTAAATACCTCACTAAAGAATTCATATATTTGTAGAAGGGATTTTTTTTTTTTTTAATGAATCTTCATTTAAGAGGATAAAGGACATGATAGACTGAAGGGGAAGAGTGAGGAAAGCATTAGTAAAAAATGAGGCAGGACTAATGAAGAAGACAAGGGTTCCTTTGAAATTTCCTACCTTTTATTTGTTTTGTCCTTTCTCAAAACTTGTTTAGAAAAGTCAAATTTAAAATTTCCTTTCAACAACTTTTCAAATTTGTGAGAGAAAAACTTACGTAAAAACAAGCTTGGTTTTAACTTCTACCTAACAGCCCAGATATCTTGTTTAGAATTTCTAAACCTGAAATCAATTTTTGACATAGAAAAATTTTGAACCTTAAAAACCATTTGTCCAATTTCCACCATAGAAAACCAAACTCTTTAACCAAAAATTTCACAAAAAAGCAACTGAACAAGTAAAAATCCTTTCAAATTTCTATTAACCCATCAAACTCCAAAAAACCCCCAATTTCTCCACAAGGACAAAAACTAATTGTGATGTAAAAGATAGGATAAGGGAACAAATTGTAATTGATTGGATTGATCCAATAGAAAAAGAAGAATTTTTTAGGAGAGTCAAGAGTGGGAAGCAACTCAAAGAGGAGACCACAACTTGTAGAGAGAGAATTTGATAGATGAAGAGAATTAGGGAATGAGGAGATAAGGAGAATCAAGGTTATAGTTTCAAGATGATGATAGGGAGAGGCAAAAAAGAGAGACAAAATGAGAGAAGCTGAGTAGCAAAGGAGGTAAGTTGTTTTTATAGGATTAGGGTTTCTAAGAATGCATTTATATGTATTTAATATTTTGCCTTTCACAATTAAAATAGAGAAAGAAAATTTGGGTAAATTAAGGTTGCAGAAGGTAGGTATCAAGTATTAGGTGTGTAACACCTTAAATCCCACATTGGGATGGAAGTGTAAGTGTGATTGGTATATAAATGTGAAGACCAACCACTATTAACAACTTGAACTTCAACTTTTGAAAGTCTATGAACCTTGGCTTGAAAAGTTGTTAGGGCAATGGCTAGCTTCAGCTTGTGTTGTTTCAAGGTTTTAGGGTTTACAACTTATGCCTAAATCATCTACAAGGTTATGTGTATTGTTACTTGACTCATTTAACTCAAGAACAAAATAGGACTACCTATTTAGTTCTTAGGTTGATACCCAAGTAATTTAGGTATTTAAAATTTAGGGCCTAACCCTAGTCACAAAAAAGGGTTAGCAAAACTTTATGCTGTATAACATATAACTCAATGAAAAG